GTGTTTAGATATGTGATGCATGAAGATTACGTGGGAAATGAAAAGTTTCTGTTTTTTTTTTTGGTGTAGAACAACAATCTGCTTCTATAATACTATTTCTTCTCGCAACAATATTCCTGCAAAGGATTGAAATCTTTTAATAGTTTGATGATGTTGGGGATTAATGAAAGGGTTTGTTTTGTTCTTGGCGAAGAACAATCCCTGTTACCATCTTCTTTATCACAACAAAAAGTTCTGTGAAGAAGATGAAGTTTGAGATTAATCCCATGACGCTTTGATGTTGAAAAGATCTTGTGTTTGCTTATGCAAAACATGCAACAGAAATGCGCATGAAGACCTTTAAGTTTGGTGAGCTCAAGAAGTTGAAATAAAAGTTCGGTGTTTTCTCTATTAAAGGGGAATGTTGAAAGATATAAGCTACCAAGCTAGACAAGGGCAATTTGGTCAATGTTAATTAAGTACAATATTTATTAGCAGTTATAGTTAATAGGAGTCTTGAATCAATGTCTTTGAAGGTAACGGCAATCTTGTAGTATACATAAATATGTATTAAATGTAACACAAGTTTGTGATTATGATAATAAAAAGTGTCGATAATTCCAAATACATTTCATATTCTATTTAGCACTTAGCAGAGTTTATGGTTCAGGTTTGAAGTCATGCTGATTTGTCCTCTTAAATAATTCCAAATATATTGATTTTGGTCGTCTATATTCTCAAATAGTTGAAAGTGTGTTTTAACTAATCTAGTAATTTTCAACACAGATCTACATATTTCAGATAAAAGCGAATAAATTGGTCTTAGATATCGAGTCTTTTTCTCTAATTTTATTTACGGAAACGCATATATTCCTGATTGGGAGGAATATGTGCATGACAACAGGGGAAGAACAAGAGGCATCGAGGAAAGAGTTCATAGATTGCATGAAACTGATTGAAGGAGAACCTCGAAACATACTTCGGAGATAACAATTTTGGGTACCTTGATTGTCTTTGATCCCATTTTATTCCCAAAACTGTTTGCTTGGTCTAGAAGGTGCTTTTAGAACAAGGAGAGCGTATCTAACTCTCTTCTTGACAAACTAAAGGTCCATGGCTTTGTTCAACAGATGAGGAGAGACTTTGGGGTCTGTTAACTGTGATAATCGATTAGTATACGACTGAATTTTCAGTGAAGAGAAAACGTGGGTATCAGGCTATCAGCCACCATTTTTAATTATTAGAATAGGCCAACTGAATTTTTAGTATCCGAAGAAAAAGAGTAAAACGGCTGTAGCCAACAGAGTATCAGCCACCATATTTAATTATTACTATGGGCTAACATTTCTACTCTCCATGTATATATATATATATATATATATATATATATATATATATATATATATATATATATATATATATATATACACACATATTGAAAGAGTTCTGTAGGTAAAAAAAATATCAAAAGGCAATTATGGCTTCTCTTGTATTGCTTTTGTCTGAGCTTCTGAAACACCATGATGATGTTGAATTTGGCTACACATCATCTTCATCACGACCTTGTTTTTCCGGTGGGCCAGTGGTGGCGACTGGCGGTGGTGGTGGGTCGTGTGCTGCGGCGAAAAGGGTGACCGGAAAGTCATCGAGAAGTGGGGTTGGAGGGTATGGCAAGGTAAGAGAATATGATGTGATTGAAAAAGAACCTGAGTTTAGGGTTTGTGTTGAATTTGTTTGAATAATGATACGTAAATACTAGTGCATTATGCATTTTATTATGTATGTTAGTTTTGTTTGTTTGTTTTTTTTGTAGCTAAATATTTGTAGTTTTACAGTTTTACCAATTATGTTAATGATGCTTATACAAATATCTATATCGGCATATCTATTACTATACCTGCAATCACTTGAATAAAATCCAATTTTGATAAATCTTGCGGATATTTGGATCCATTTAATTACATCTCTACAAGTTTATTCCAAATATTGTTTTTCAATAAATAATACCGTCATGCCCTTATCTTCTAAATTGACTGTTTTAACCCTGGTAAGTTCCTAAAATGATGCGTGTGTGTCGGATACAAGTGCAAATTTGTGCTAAACCTTTTATTATTTAAATCCTTATTTTCGACCAAATGTTAGCAAATAAAAAGATTTGTCCTATAGTAGAATTTCATTGTTAAATATTACATCTATATCCTTACAAATTCTAATATATATATATATATATATATATATATATATATATATATATATATATATATATATATATATATATATATATATATATATATATATATATATATATATATATATAGGTTCAGGTTCATTTGAGACCATTATAATTTTGTGAGACCGTGAGACCAAATCTAAAAATAATTTTAAAATACAAAATAAATGGAAAAATCCAAAAAAAAATTTAAATATTATTTTCGGAACTTGAATTAACTAAAAAAAATAAAAAATAAAAAAAATAAAAATAAATTCCATTTTTTTTGAAAAATACGTGAAATATTCTAATAGAATATTACACTGATATATTCTTAAAAATAATTGTAAAATGCAAAATAAATGGAAAAATCCAAAAATTCTTTTTTTAAATATTATTTTCGGAACTTGAATTAACTATAAAAATTAAAAAAAATAAAAAAAATGCGTCTCACGGTCTCACAAAATTAGGCTGTCTCACGTGAACCTAACCTTATATATATATATATATATATATATATATATATATATATATATATATATATATATATATATATATATATATATATACCTCAAACTAGGGATGAGAAATTGGGCCGAAAACCCGAACCGAACCGAGAACCGAACCGAACCGAATAAGACCCGAATAAGCAATTCGATTCGGTTTTCGGGTATCTGTATATGGCTTATTCGGTTTTCGGGTTATTCAGTCCGGGTTACCCGAATAAGGACTTATTCGGTCCAAAAAACCGAACCGAATATGAAGCGTTTATTTCAATTTTGTGAGCCGTGAATCGAATAAGGACTCCCTCTCACAGTCGACGTCTCAACTCTCAAGTCTCAACGATTCTCCCATTCGATTCCCTAATCCTAATAGCGGGTAAACCAAACACAATTACACCAAATCGAACCGACGATCACAATTACACCGAATCGAAGAACACTAAAAATTTCTTGTTGCCGATTTCTTTGATCAACATTTGACGGATTATACTTCTTGCTGCCAAGTGCCGACTTCTACTCCTTGGCTTCTTGCTGTCGACGTTTAATTTGTTTGATCGCCAATTACACCAAAATCGTAATATCGTATATCCTAATCCTTCCTTATTTTTTTTGATCGACAATTAACATTGGTTATACTTCTTGGCTTCTTCCTGTTGACAATTAACTTGGTTATACTTCTTGCTGGCCGACTTTTTTTTTTTTGATCGTATATCCTAATCCTTCCTTTTGCCTTTGATCGACAATTGGTTTTGCCTTCTTGCTGGTTCTACAATATGCTTTGATCGACATTAAGTGTTGATCGACTTCCCTGCTTCAAACTTCTTGAATCGTCTTCTCATCTTGTTTTGCAGTTTATGCTGTGATAAAACTCCATTCAATTCATGGAAAATTGGGTTCCAAATCAAGAAACACAAGTAAGTATTGAATAAGAGAATTTAATGAAAAAAACCATATATGTTCTTTTACTTAGGTCAATAACGTAATGACCATAACCGTTGACAATGCTAGTGCAAATGACAAAGCAATCGAAATTCTAATGAAAAAGCTACCAAACTTGTACGATGGGGGGAAACAATTACACGTAAGGTGTATGGCCCACATCCTTAACCTTATTGTTAGGGATGAGTTTGATCAACATCAATCTAGTATCAAGTGCATGCAAAAGGCCGTTAAATACATTAGGAATTCTACACAACGAATTCAAAGGTTCAAAGAATGCATGAAAGAGCTAAATGTGGAATCCAAAAAGTTTTTGTGCAATGATAGCCCAACTCGATGGAACTCCACATACGAGTTATTGAAGATTTGCGGTGGAGTTGGAGAAGGTTTTTGGCATGTTTGAAGTCAAAGGTAATTTCATATTCCATTCCATTGTTTTTTTTTTTTTTTTTTTTTTTTTTTTTAATTTTATATTTCAGCATTTTTACAAATTTTTAGCCAACTTTGAAGAGTCATAACATGTTCGTTATTTGTCCGATTAGCCCGATTTTTTTCCAGATTGTAGTTTACAATTTGTACTACAATTTACACTATTTATACGAGTTATTTGGTTGTATATTCAGTGAGTTATAGGCCTCTAAACATTGGATACTAAATCTGAGTTTTTCTGTTTCAGCATTTTTACAAAATTTTAGCCAACTTTGAAGAGTCATAACGTGTTCGTTATTTGTCCGATTAGCCTAATTTTTTTTCCAGCTTGTAGTTTACAATTTGTACTACAGTTGACACTATTTATATGCGTTATTTGGTTGTATATTTAGTGAGTTATAGGCCTCTAAACATTGGATATTAAATCTGAGTTTTTCTGTTTCAACATTTTTACAAAGTTTTAGCCAACTTTGAAGAGTCATAACGTGTTCGTTATTTGTCCGATTAGCCTGATTTTTTTCCAGCTTGTAGTTTACAATTTGTACTACAGTTTACACTATTTATACGCATTATTTGGTTGTATATTCAGTGAGTTATAGGCCTCTAAACATTGGATATTAAATCTGAGTTTCTCTGTTTCAGCATTTTTACAAATTTTTAGCCAACTTTGAAGAGTCCTAACGTATTCGTTATTTGTCCGATTAGCCCGATTTTTTTTTTCCAGCTTGTAGCTTACAATTTGAACTACAGTTTACACTATTTATACGCGTTATTTGGTTGTATATTCAGTGAGTTATAGGCTCCTAAAGAAAGGGTATTAAAGATGTTTTTTTTTTTTTTTTACAAAAATAAATACTAACATTTACTTTATTATTATAGATCCTACATTTGTTTGAGACGTTTTGACCCCATCAAAAGAAGATTTCAACATTTGTAAAGCTATGGTTGGATTTCTTGAGAAATTCAAGGTGAAAACTGACATAGTATCGACGTCAACAAAACCGATGACACATCGGTTTTTTGGAGAAATATGTGATGTGTACAAACACATTAAGGAATGGGCGGCTAGTCCGCAATTTTGTTTGATCAGGAAGGACATGATTGATAAATACGATAAGTATTGGGGCGATCTTGAAAAATTAAATGACTTTTTGTATTTTGCGGTCATATTAGATCCACGGTTCAAGTTTGATTTTCTTCAACAAGCTTTTAAGAAGTTGATTAAGTTGAAGAATCCACAAAAAGATCCTATGCTCAACTCGGAAGTCATTTTGAAGGCTAAGGTCTTAATACGGGGTCTTCAACAAAGATTTGAGAATTTTTTTTATTTCTATAAATCAAAGTTTGACAATACCGACTCTTCTCAAAATCAAACACATGGTCATGAAGATGTAGTTGTGATTGATGATGAGAATAACTTCATGGGTGATTTAACAGTTCAAACTGATTACCCATCGGCACTAATGGAAATGGAGTTGACACGATACATAAACGAGCAGTTAGTTAAATACAATAAAGATTTTGATATTCTACTTTGGTGGAAACAAAATGCATCTCGTTACCCTATTGTATCCCGTATGGTGAAAGGTATAACTTTATTTTTGTATACTTTTTTATATAATTATATTTTAACATTTTCTATGTTTATGCTGATAGATATTTTGGGACTGCAAATCTCTACCGTGGCATCAGAGGCGGCGTTTAGTACAAGCGGGCAGATATTGGATCCATATAGAACAAATTTGTCTGCAAATATAGTAGAGGCTTTGGTTTGCACTCAAGATTGGGTAAGGAAATCAAGAAAGCAAATTGTGGACAACATTGATGAAATTTTGAAAGACGATGAGGTCGCGAAAGCTTTAGAAGATGCGATAAAGAACGGAGATGGAAAGGGAAAACAACCAATTAATATTCATGAATAGTTAATTCGTGTTTGAAAAATGTTATTTTGGATATCTGATAAAAACTTAAGATTCATATTTTTATTTGGGCGTTGAATGCTTAATGTTTAACTTATATACTTATGGATAGATTTTTGGGTGTTTAATTTTTAGTGTTTAATTTGTTTCTTTAAAAGGTTTGTTATGAAATCATAAGCTACAAAAGTCATAAAAAATACAATATTTATTCGGGTTATTCGACTCCTTAATCATTTTGTACATGTTATTCGGGTTATTCGGGTTATATATTTATGAAATCATAAGATTCAAAACTAATACAAAATATTTGGGTTATTCGGGTTATTCGGGCTATTAGGGTTATTCGAGTTATTCGACTACAAAATATTCGGGTTATTCGGGTTATTCGGGTTATATATTTATGAAATCATAAGATTCAAAAGTAATTCGGGTTATTCGACTCCTTAATCATCTTGCACATGTTATTTGGGTTATTCGGGCCGGAACCGAACCAAATCGAATAATACCCGAACCGAACCGAACCCGTATTGCTTATTTGGTTCGGTTTTCGGTTCATACAATTACCCTTATTCGGTTCGGTTTGGTTCGGTTCGGTTCCGACCCGGATAACATCCCTACCTCAAACTATAAAACTCAAATGTATATTCAAATCATGGTCGGTCCAAACGTATATGGGATTCATGACGAAAAGAAAAAAAAGGTCACTCAAAAACATAATAAAGATTAAAAAAAATATCATTTATTTTTCACCATAAACATATTCAATTAGCAATAACAAACAAGTCAAACTGTTTATATTTTGAGTTAATTTCAGTTTGAACCAATTTAGAATTTAAAAATCAATTAGGTAATAATTTTTTTTATATATATATACTACATAGTCCAAAAAATTTAGCCCCCTAAAGACGTGGACCCTGGACGGCCGCCCGAGTTGTCCACGGTCTGAACCGACCCTAATTAAAACACATAATTTATTTAAGTACAAAATAATTTAATATTAAGAACTTATCAAAAAACAAAAGTCATATGATTGTACTAAGATATCCTTTCAAATTATCAAAAGCTAGCATTAAACCCAATTATCCTCTTCTTCATTATGCTAATCTGCTAATCATAGAAACAATTGTTCAATCTTATATATTGTTATTGATTTATTTAACAAAATAAAATATAGTATAAAAAGGAGAAAGTAACATAAAAAGCAAAGTACGTCACATAAGATTGATACAAAAGTCATAATCGTTATAAGAGATATTTTCTCAGTATTGGCAAAATTGGCATTCTATGGATCCAATATTTGTTTCACATTAAGCGATTTCGTCCATTTCTTTTTGGAAACGGAAAATAGTAAACGTAAGTCTACTCGTAATATTTCAACGATTATTTTAGATAAAAAAATTTTTTATAGGGCAAACCTAGTTCTCATAGAGATTTCAAGGGAAAATTTTTTCCACAAGTTTAAGAGGGACCCTTTCAAGTATTATTCGGATTGAACTTCCGACCTCACATAAACTCATGTCTCTTCCTTGCTAGGCTTAAAGTGATTGATGATTTCGTCCTTATTCAAAAGAACTAATTTATTTTTCATTTTTAACCATGCAAACACATAATAGGTTTGGGCGTTTCAGATTTGGCAAGAATTTTGGTTAATGTTGATCTTTAATTTGGGAAGGGTAATTTATATAATCATATGAAATTTTAAATTCTAGAAAAAAAATTCTTAATATTAAATTAGTTTAAATTTAGTTAAAATTTGAATTTAGATGTGGGTTTTATAGTTTTATCCGTGTGTGTGTGTATGTATATATATATATATATATATATATATATATATATTATATATATATATATATATATATATATATATATATATATATATATATAAAAGTTCAATAGAGAACCATAATTATTGATTCTTTAAGGAACCAAATATTTTTTTCAATTTCTAGAACTTATTCATTATCGAAAAAAAATCTAAAAATATCTAAATTCATATATTAACATTGTGAATGTGAAAAATATTTTTCAGATTCACCGTGTCAATCCGGATTCACGTTGTGAATTTTCAAAAATTCACATTGTAAATTTGACGTAAAAAAAAATCGAATTTGATATCATTGGAAAAAGGATAAAAAGTTATGAATTTTTGTTTTTTTTTTTTTTTTTTTTTGATAAAAAAAGTTGATTTCTTGATTAATTATGGTTCTCTATTGAACCTCCCTATATATATATATATATATATATATATATATATATATATATATATATATATATATATATATATATATATATATATATATATATATATACACTAGGCGAATTTCCACGCGTTGCATAAAAACACCTATATAGTTAAAGTCATTACAAATATATGGTTTTTATAAATATAACAATAACATTTTTTTAAATTTGATATAATAATTTGTATACTAAATTGATATAATATATTGATTATTTTGAATTATATGAACTTCGTAATCTCAATCGTTTAAATGACTTCTACCCGCAAGTCACACATTAATATATATATATATAATATATATATATATATATATATATATATATATATATATATATATATATATATATATAATAGACGAATTCCCGCGCGTTGCATAAAAACACCTATATAGTTAAAATCATTACAAATATATGGTTTTTATAAATAGAACAATAACATTTTTTTAAATTTGATATAATAATTTGTATACTAAATTGATATAATATATTGATTATTTTGAATTATATGAACTTCATAATCTCAATCGTTTAAATGACTTCTATCTGCAAGTCACACATGAATAAAAATAAATATAATATATGGTTTAATGTTTTTTTTTATAATTGTTGTAAATTAATTTTTTAAAATTTATTTGATTAATATTTTAATTTCTATCATTATAATTATTTAAAACATCAAACATTATTTTTATATAGAGTTATTTTTAACTATTATTATTATAAGTTATTTTAACCTACTTATTTGGAAACTTTTAACGATTATAAAAGTATCTTTAAGAAATATTTTAGTTAAATTGAAATTACAATTTAGTTTTTTTCATTTATCACTACAATTTACCACTTTTAACTATTTTCAAGATATTCTTTGGTTTTTTATATGGAACTGAAATTTATATTTAATTTGACATTGGAATGTGCAGAAACACCTATATAGTTGAAGTTTTATAAATATATGTTTTTTTTAATATAAACTTAATGTCGTTGTTAAATTTGATATAATAATTTGTATATTAAGTGAATATAATATATTGATTATTTTGAATTATACGATAACATATACATCTATTAGAACTTCATAATCTCGATCGTTCGAATGACTTTTACCTGCGAGTTACACATGAATGAAATTAAATATAATATATGGTTTAATGTTATTTATGGTTGTTGTTATTGTTAATTAATTTTTTTTAATTTATTTTCTTAATGTTTTAATTTCTATCATTATAATTATTTAAAACATCAAACATTATCTTTTGATTTGAAAGGTAACAATATAATGATTTATATTGAGTTATTTTTAACTATTATTATTCTAAGTTATTTTAAGCTACTTATTTGAAATTTTTAACGATTATAAAAATATCTTTAGGAAATATTTTTGTTAAATCGAGATTACAATTTAGTGTTTGCATTTATCAGTACAATTTATTACTTTTAACTATTTACAAAATCTTCTTTGGTTTTTTAAGGGAAACTGAAATTTATATTTAAGTTGATATTGTGTTAACAATATAAATATTTTGTTCAAACTATTCAAAAGTTATAGATTTAAACTGATAATGGTTTACATATAACAACATATTAAATTTAATAAATTAAGTATAACATGTTAAAAGTTAAAGACATAATTTTATAAGCAGAAGTAAATATATTATTTTAAAATTAAAATTTAGTTTATTTATGATTACAATTTAGTTTTGATATTTATTTAACATTATTAACCATATTATAATCATTATTAGAAAGACACTACAATTTATCACTTTTAACTATTTACAAAATACTCTTTAGGTTGTTTAAGTTAAACTAAAATTTATATTTAAGTTGACCCTGTCATTTTATATTTAAATTAATAATTTAAGTAATTTATACAAATTTTTCCAAATTTGTATTTTTAAAATGATAATGGTTTGCATCCAACAATATATTATAACTAATAAATTAAATATAATATGTTAAAAGTTAAAAAACATAAATTTATAAGTAGAAGTAAAGATATTATTTTAATATTGAAATTTAGTTTATATATGATTACACTTTAGGTTTGATATTTATTTAACCTAATTAACAAATTATAATTATTATTACAAAAAAATTGAAATGTCATGGGAGTTTCAAATAAATGTGGTGAAAGGAAAAATGCTTCCTTTATATATATATATATATATATATATATATATATATATATATATATATATATATATATATATATATATATATATATATATATAATTTTAAAATTTGGAAAGATATAAATGTAATATTAAAAATTTTCAAGGATATAAACGAAATTTTCCTTGTAATATTTTTGACGAGAATGAATTTCACTATTATTTTCTTCTTACATCAAATCCTTTTGCTGAACACCTACTAGGCTATAAATATTATAGTTTATAATGAAATTTATATAAGACGAAGATAAATGTTAAATTTATAAAAATTCTGGAACTTTAGAGCAGCAAATGAGAAATTTATGGTTAAGGTTGAATATCAAGATCTCTAATTTTTTTAATTTCAAGTGAACTGTCCCCTATATATATATATATATATATATATATATATATATGAAAAAACTATGGTATGTAAAATCTAGCAAGTTTGGTCCAAATGGGTTTAGCTCGCAAGGATGATCCAATAGTTCCGTTTTGTTGGGAGTTTGTTCTAATGGCTAAACAATAATTACCAAGCTCCCATTAATATATCCATGCCCCTCTCACTTGAGGGTATTTTAGTCCATTCATCCCTGTAACCGTTCCTGCTAAAGCTCAATAAAAGCAGTTCGTCTCCTCAATAAAGTAGATCATCGTTATTTAACCAAGATCAATAAAAGACCTAG